ATGGTCGCAGGGCGAATTCGAGAAAGGCGTCGGGGAATCGAGCGTAGGAGACAACGCGCAAGTGACGCGTAGCAGGCTTGAGGCGCGCGGAGTTCATGGAGGTGGGGTGCACGCGGAAGAAAGCCAAGACCTTGAGGGCCTAGGAAAGGCAGGCGCGCGACAGCACGCGCGCAAGGCAGCTGGCGAGAACTCAAGGCTCGCGAGTGGAGCTCATACGCGGGGCATGCCTATGCGCGGTAGGCATAGGCAAGGAAGGCAGCGCGCACGCGCGCGAAAGGATTGGACGCGAGCTGGGTGCGCGCATGGGCCGCGCGTGGGACATGGGCGCGCAAAGCCTAGTGCGTCGAGGACTAGGCGAGCGCGAGACGGCGCGCATAACACGCGTACACGTGAGGCGGTCAAATAAAGTTGGGGCGCAAGGATCAAGCTTCTAGAATTGTTTGGAGTGCAAGACAAGTAATTAGGAGATCTAGTAGATTTAGGATTTTTTGGTAGTAGATATTTACTTGCCTTAGGATTTAATATTTTATTGTTTTATTAGTTTCTTAGTAAGATTAGCAATAGAGGTAATTAGCACCTATAAATACCCTATGTATTCTTCATTAGTTGGATGTCTTGAATTGAGTATTGAATTGGTGAGCCAATTGTGAGGGGAACTTTATGTTCTAACGTGTGATAAACAAGACCGTTAGTGTGTGTTTACATACAGTGTCGGAGAGAAGGCCATTAGAGCGTCTTGAAGTCACAGTGTCTAGGAGAAGGCCGATAGTGCGTCTGTTAGATACACCTATCGTGAGTAATCGAAGGCCTTGAGTGCACAATTATTCACAACTCGTATAGACAGAAATCTGATCCATCATCATTGGTGCTTTCATTGAGAGGTGCTGATCGAATTTTTGTCTATCCTATCTTTTTCTTTTTTTCGGTTTGCCTTTTGCTGAGGGGCCGAATTTCTCTTCTTTTTTTTGGTTCGATTTTTGTTCTTTCTTTTTGGGGGTTCGAATTTTTCGAATTTTTACCCATAATTTTCGAAATTTGAGTCTTAAAAAAGAAAAAAAGTGTCATCTAGTCCTTTATTTTATATTTTTTAGGTTATTACCTTTTGTTGAGGGGCCGAATTTCTCTTTGTTTTTTTGAATATTTTGGTTCGAATTTTTTGTTCGGATTTTTTTTTTTCTTTTTTTTCAAAGAGTTAAAAAAAATGTCTTACCCACCAATGGATGAGTTAGATTGGGAAGATCTTGAGATGTTGGAGGGTTTGGAAAGAGAGCTTACACCATGGGAGAAAACATATCTAGATGAGCTTCATGAGCGAAGAAATATAGAAGAATACGAGCGACAACTCGTAGAAGCCCGAGAAGCAATGGTGATCGATGCTCAAGACAATGGCGATGAAAGAGCGCTGAATTTTCTAATCCTTGAGGACAAGGAAAGTCTTGAAGAGGAGGGGAATGATACGGAAGTGGTCATCAACCCAGGCGAGTCGGAGGATGAAGGTTGCGACGATTTCAACATATGGTTGGAGAACATGCTAGAGGAGCCATCAAGTCCAATATATCGGCCATCATGTGTACGAGATTGGCCAAAAGGATATGGTCCAAAGTTAAAGGTGAAGGCTTGGAAACGCAAGGCCAAGCAAGCCCGAAGGAAACGCAAGGCAAAAGCTAAGGAAGGGAAGTGTTGGGGCAAGCCTTGTGCAAGAAAGAGACGAGTTTAGAGAATGGAACCTCGAAGGCGTGGTAGGCAGAGAATGGAGGATGGTTGGATATGGAGAGCTGGTGATTGCCATGATGGTAAGTGTGTTGAAGGTTGGGACCTGTGGGACGAGCCAAGGTCATCGGGCGAGCACTTGGAGTCGGTTGGCGACAAGGGTGCGAGCACGAGCGAAGAACGCGCATTGTGCCTTGATGCGCGCAGGTGGTCGAGTGATCACGCAAGAGATGGGGCAGTACGCGGATGCACGGTCGACGGTGGAGGCGCATGGTCGCAGGGCGAATGCGAGAAAGGCGCCGGGGAATCGAGCGTAGGCGGCAACGCGGAAGAAAGCCAAGACCTTGAGGGCCTAGGAAAGGCAGGCGCGCGACAGCACGCGCGCAAGGCAGTTGGCGAGAACGCAAGGCGCGCAATGGCGCGCGAGTGGAGCTCATACGCGGGCGCATGCCTATGCGCGGTAGGCATAGGCAAGGAAGGCAGCGCGCACGCGCGCGAAAGGATTGGACGCGAGCTGGGTACGCGCATGGGCCGCGCGTGCGACATGGGCACGCAAAGCCTAGTGCGTCGAGGACTAGGCAAGCGCGAGGCGGCGCGCATAACACGCGTACGCGTGAGGCGGTCAAATAAAGTTGGGGCGCAAGGATCAAGCTTCTAGAATTGTTTGGAGTGCAAGACAAGTAATTAGGAGATCTAGTAGATTTAGGATT